AAATAAATAAATAAATAAATAAATAAATAAATAAATAAATAAATGGAGAGGTTTTGGGGGCAAGGAAGGAAGGAGACTGGGTCTACTACAGGATTCCTGATGGTCCTACAGCCACCTTTCCTCCCATTCCAAAGCTCCGCAGCGAGACAATTGAAACTGGTTGTCTAGAAAAACTGCCGAGTGGAAGGATCAGGGAGGCAGAAATCATTTCCCACACTCTGCACTGGATGCTTGTATGCCTCCCAGTTCAGAAGCTCGCAAGCGTCAAGACTGTAACTGATAGCAATTTGCCCTTATTCCATGCTGAATCTCTCACTTAGAAATATGTAGAACCCTTGTGAGAAAAGGCAAATGTCAGTCTTCCCCCTGCCATTTGTCACACCTAGAGTGGGGCACCTGTCCCCAAAGTTGTATCAAATTTCGCTTTGCTCAGCTTTTCAACTGGTTTACACTAAACATGCAATATCAGGGCAGAAGGGAGGCAGAGAAGGGAAGTGGGAGAAAAGCAGCACCTAGGGAAGGCAAACAGAATGGGTTTTACACAGAGCAGGCCACAGAGTAGCAAGGTATCCCACATCACAGCAAGCAATCTGAAGAGCTTTCAGAGGATGCCTTTCTCTTTAAAGGCAGCCTCTTTTTGAAAAACTGTGCAATCCAAGTCCAGTTTAATGAAGAATTATATGGGAGAACTGGGGTTACCCATCTACAGTAACACCTGAGAGAGCAGATTGGGGGGACAGGCATGCACTGATTCCTCTTCGCTTATGGTGAGATGTATTCAAATTAAGCTCATTATACTAATTCTTTCTAAATTTGCATCTATATCTATCATATACAATTTTTGTGCCAATCCATGTCCCCCTTTTTGGTGATACCTTTCCTCCTTCAGGAGAAGGAGGCCAGAGGGCATGTGGTCACCCTAGTAGGCCATACTTTAGGACTCTAGTGGGAAGCTCTGATGCAGTACCTTTTACTTTCTTGGCAGGTGAAGATGCTCACTGTCTCCTATGTTCATCTCTTCTACTTTGGCCTGTGTTTGCTTACGTTAACCAGTTCATCTGCTGCTGCTGGCCCGGAGACACTTTGTGGTGCTGAGCTGGTTGATGCTCTTCAATTTGTCTGTGGAGAAAGAGGTTTTTATTTCAGTAAGTTTGAACATCCACTACTATTTATCTCATTCGAAAGTCCTAATATTTTTCCCAGAAGTCCTGGGGAGGGAATGCAGCTGTTGGAACAATGTGCATGAAAAGTTGATCAAGCCACAAAACAATCAAAACTTTCAAATGGTTTACTCTCCTGAATCCCAGTGCTCAAAGGTTGAGTAAAGCATATTATTTGGTCTGCTGCATTATTCAGCATCTTCTCCCCACCTCCTCCAAGTTATAATGAGTTTTCCTTTTCAAGACTATTATGCCTTTTAACTTCTTTCCAGCTACTTGTCTCTCACTCTTTCTGCATTTGCTGATACCCCTCTATCACCATCCAAACAGACTCTCTCAATGGAAAGGAACACTGTAATACTTTAAAATCAGTTAAGAACTGGGTGCTACATTGCCTCCCATTGTTTCAACATCTGGTCCAAGTGGTTATGTGCTTTGACTGTCATTGAAGGAGGACACGTGGGTGGCAGAAAATTACAAGGTAAAGAAGGCAACTGCCAATGGTGTCGCGTTGACTGGTTCTTGCTATTGCCTGGCTTCTAGCAATTTGAGTAGCAGGAAATGTCTGCTCAGAATCTTGAAACAATTGGTGCCCTATGGATAGAAAAGGACCACAGCTCAAGGGTTTATGTTTAGCAAGAGATTTCTGGTTGACTTCAAAGTATCACTAGTTAAAACAGGGTAGAACTACCCATGGCCAGCTGCTACATGCAGCCCCAAGGCCTGCAAAAGCCCCTGCTGCCAATTTCCTTATCGCAGTGGTCCCAGTGCAGCTGTTGCTTCCCCACTGTTGGTCGGAGTGAGAATAGCATGCTCTGTCTCAGGGAATTTCCGCTGGAAAGCCTGATCAGCATCAGGATCTCTGAGTGGGTTCCACCGTTAAAGACAGGTGTGCAGCCCCACCGCTCCTTCCCTGGGAAGAGGTGTAAGTGTGGCTGTGTCAGCCAGCATTGTGGCTCTTGGGAACGAACAGGCTGTTGACCTCTGGGTTGGCAGGATCAGGTATGTATTGAATGATTTTATTGGTACCCCACCTTTCTACCAAGAAGGCACTCAGAGCAATAAAGGGTATTGTGAAATCCTCGGGGAACCCACTGACAAGAAGAGTAGGTGGCACTGGCTTGGACCTGTCCTAAAGCAACTCACACCTTTTCTAAAATATCTTTCAATGTTCTTCCTATACTATTGCCAGCCATCCTACAAAGCCATTCCAGTACCAAGACCAAGCTATTTGATGCTGCATTGTGCAGTTTCTCATTTCCAACATTTAAAGCAAATTCAGCTGACATGTTGTTTATAGCACCTTCTGTGAGAGCCACAGGAAGGATTTATCCTCAATTATCAATAGGTATTCATTATCATAATGGGAACTGAAAAGTACTGAAATGTGTACTGTCCCCATGGTTTTTCCCATGTCTCTGTCAAGCCAGAAAACATTAGATGAACTCAAGGAACAGAAGTCATGTTCAAAAGCAATAGCCTATAACTGAGCATCCATTACAGAAATAACATTTTTAAATAATTTACTATAGAATTGGTGCCACTTTTGGAGCACCAAAATTGTGGCATCATCAATTATTGCAAGGTATTTTTCTACTGATTTAAAAGATTTGGCCTTCTCTTGGTATAGTTGTACATGGATTATCCTGCTTATCCAGAATAAGTTTTTCCATATGCATCAAATGTGCAAGAAGGCTGGGAATTAGAGAATATAGCTCTCAATACATTTACCTACAAGGAGTCCCATTGAAGTCTGTGGGGCTTACTTTCACCTAGATAGTCATTAAAATAGTGCTGTTTAAAGAAAGTCTTAGTATTGGAGAGAACTTCCATTACATGAATTTCTTAATCTTTCATCCTTCCCTCTTGAACTAGTATAGGTTGACAGAATTGCATTTTCTTCTTTGCTGAGCTGCCATTGCTATTAGTCTGAAATAGGTGTAAAAACAGATTTTTAGAAGTGCAAGCTTTTCCTTGCTTTAGTTTCCCACATTGTTGAATCTTACAAGCATATTTTACATAGTCTTCCTCAAACACATGGAACCATGATTCTTATATTGTTCTTGTTGAGACCTAATGGGAAGACCTAATGGGATCCAGATAGACTTAGGAACTCCTAAAGCATTCTGAGCACCAATGTTGGGAGGAAAATAATGTATATTTTACTGTTGGGATCAAAGGCATTTTTCAAAGAATGTCCAAGGGGAAAACTCTTCTTTCATGTAAAGGGGGTTCTTTTTGTGTTTTGGCACTCAACGTTCTTTTCTGTTGGCAATTCATTTCTATCTATCAAATTGCCAAGGTAATCAATGTGATATTGGAACTGCAAAGGAGCATGTATATCTGATGATGAGTTAAATCACTTGTAAAACTAAGTAGCATTTTGAATTGCTGGTTAAGAATGAGGAATGGGCCAAGGCTGAAAACCCTGGACATGAAGTAATAGGAAAAAACTTACTGTACTTTTGATGAAAGTTTGCTGAACATGTACACAATTATAATAGAGAGCAATGGTGGCCCCATTACCATGTGTCAGTAAACTGTTCTTATGAATTGTTTCTGAAGTGTGTATTAAATGAAGAAAATATGCTGCTATTAATGTCTTTTAGGTTTATGCAAGACCTTTTCCTCCACCTTATAAATCCATTCATTTTTTGGATTAAAATATTTTTGTTTAATATGAATTCATCCATTACTTTGGTTCATTGGCTGAGGTTGCATTCATTTTGATATCTACAATCATGATTGTTCTTTCCATTCTTCTCTCTCTTTTAACACTGGTTCACAACCAGCTATGGCTGCAGTGAATTCAGCAGCCACTGTTGGATGTTCCAGATTCTGCAGGGGGAAAGACTGCCAAGTGGGAGGTTATTATTTTTGTGAGTCAGCTGTCATTTTCCCATGTATGTGCCATACAAATTATCTGGAACTTTGAAATATCTGGGCATTCTGGCAAAAAAAATGACATCTACTCAACTCTGCATCTTTCCCTCTAGTGCCCAAAGGGGTTCCTATTCATGCCTCTGCATACATTCCAGAACGGATGGAAATTGAACTGAATGGGCCTAGTTTAAGATTCTAAGGATGTGTACAGCCCAGCGAAGCAAACCATGATCAATTGAAAGGAACAATCCTATGGTTCCTGAACCCTGTCTGGAAGACCATAAGAGTTAGTTTTTTAAAGTTAAGAAGCAGGTGAAGTGAAGATCAGCTTCAGAAACCGAGATCTCCAATCATGAACTGAATATATGAGCCATAGCATATTACAGCAAACCCTACCTTACTACCACTATGCTCGTACAACCACTTGCCTAATTTCGAGGTGTACTTTATTGGGGCAAGAACTGGTTCCTCAATATAACTAATAAGGAATATCTGGTTGCATAACTTTAATTCTCATCCATTCCTTGAAGAAATTCTGGGCAGTGTAATTTGGAAGGAGTGCAACGAATCATTTGCTAGAGACCTCAAACATCATTCCTAGGGTTCCTTTCCTAGAGGGAGTATCTATTAGATAAGCTGAAGTCTGCAGTGTACATGCCCAGTCATCATTAGCATGGCTGCATTTTCTCCTACTGCTAAGCTATAGTTAGGGTTTTGAGGTCAAGCCACAGTAAGCCTTGGGCTCACTGCTGTCTTCTTCTGCTGAAGCATGTCCAGGAGGAGGAGATTAGACAGTTCTGCTTCTGTTTTAGATTAACCACAGTGTAGCATGTTATCCAGACCCTAAACCAGCATTCCCTAGCTTGATGCCTTCCGGATGTCTTGGACTACAATTGCTATCAGCCCCAGCCAGCATGGCCAATGATCAGAGATGTTAAGAAGTATAGTCTAAAAGACTGCTCTTAACTGGCTAATTTCAAGTGTGGGTTGTTGAAGCAAACCAGCTTCATAAACTATGGTTAGCAGTTGGCTCACACATCAAGGCTCACCACATTTCATCTGTGGCATGCTAAACTATGGTTTGGTGTTGAGTGTAAATGATATTATGTATTCTAACCCTATTCGCATTCAAGCTTTTGATCAGCCTTTGAGCATTTAGCCCCTGGGAATTCTGAGTCAATCCAGTATTTTCTAGACTGACAGTCTGGAGACTTGAAATTCTGTTTATTCACAGAGCAGATCCAGCCTGAGCAGGGGGCAAGGCAATATGGGTTTGCCCACACCATGCCATGCAACAGGCCTCAACTATGACCCAGAGGACAGGGTGAAAGAGGGAAATGCATTCCACATACTGATCCTGTCCTTGAACAGCTTGGCCAGCAATGCCAACGGATGTATTAATTACTTAGTGCTTGTGTTGACAGGTGCTTGTTTTGTTTTGTTTTGTTTTGTTTGCCATGTGGACATGGAATCATTGGCCTCTAGACTGAATCCTGCAGTTGGGGGGTGTATTGTTTAATGGCTGCCTGCTATAAAATTAATGTGCCGTGTAGATTAGGTCTAGTTTTTGCTTCAGTGGAAGATCTCTAAGGAAAACACTCTGTTCAGGAAATGCTTATTCATTTGACCTTACTTTGCCATCTGAGTCAGTCCATGCTCAGGGTTAGAGCAAAGCCATTATTTGGCTGGGGAATAGACATCTTAGCCACTGAGAAAAGATCCAGTACTGTGGTTTTTCAAGTATACAAGTAGGGCTACCTTTAGAAGAGTCGAGTTTTCTCTTTCCCTTCCCATTCCTGCTCCTAATAACGGGATATGAGCTTTTGCCTCTTCTGGAATGTTATTGTGGCATCTGTCTTTGCCCATCACTTATAAAAACATTCATGCAGTCATCACATATTATATTTATTGTTATAAAATGCTGTTTCCTAAACATGACAAGTTTTCTAGGGTAAAAATCCAGAAAATTATTGCACTTGGTGTCAAAAAAAGCTGGAATTTTACTTGCTAACTATGTATATTGGGTGATATGCCCCATTGTTACTTCTCAATGTTGGCATTGCTAGTAACCACATTGCTGGTGATTAAAAATATATATATAA